CAGGAAAGATGTGGAAGCGTTAGAAAAGGTGCAGAGGAGGTTTACCAGGATGTTGCCTGGAATGGAGGGAAGGTCTTATGGGGAAAGGTTGAGAGAGCTAGGGCTTTTCTCTTTAGAACGACGAAGGATGAGAGGTGACTTGATAGAGGTGTACAAAATGATCAGAGGTATAGATAGAGTGGACAGCCAGAGACTTTTTCCTAGGGTGGAGGTTTCCTTTATGAGGGGACATAGTTTTAAAGTGAAAGGAGGTAGATATTAGGGAGACGTCAGAGGTAGGTTCTTTACTCAGAGAGTGGTAGGGGCGTGGAATGTAATGCTGGAGAGGGTAGTGGAGTCGGCCTCATTAGGGGCATTTAAGCGGCTATTAGATAGGCATATGGATGATAGTATAAGGTAGCGGTGGAGGTTAGATAGACCTTAGGTTTAGGGTAAAAGTTTGGCACAACATCATGGGCCGAAGGGCCTGTACTGTGCTGTACTGTTCTATGTTCTAAAAGGACAAGGTCAGCTGGTGCATGGGAATATCATGCTTCAAGGTAGCTTCAAGTTCATTTCAAGCCACACAGTATCCTGATCTGAAGCTATATTGCTGTTCCTTCATATTTATCTTGATCTTGGAACTCCTTGGCAGTGCTGTGGGTATCCCTACACCAGACGGATTGCTGTGGTACAAAAAGGTGACTGCTCACTACCTTTTCAAGAGCAATTAGGAAGGGAATAAATGATGACTATCTCTGCAATGTCTGCCTCCCATGAACAAATAAAATAAAACTCCACTGGTTTCAGTGTGTCAACTTGAAAATTCCCTGTACATCTATACTCTCTGCTTTCTGTCTAGTAGCCAATCCTTTATTTAAGCTAATATAATGTCTCCAAATTCATAAGCCCTTATTTTGTGTAATAACATTTCATGTAGTACCTTATCAAATGTCTTTTTGCAATCTAGTTACATTAAATTCTCCAATGATTCCCCCAGACAGCCAGCCTCCAGAGATTATAGCCATTTTTGACTGTCTCCTAGTTGTCAGAATAAAGGTCTGCCATCTTCACATCTCACTTGCAGTTGTCCTTGTAAAGGACGCACAGACGCCCAGGAGGTCACAGCTCAGTGGCCAGTGCACCATATCCTGGGATATGACTGGCATCTAGCTGATGCATGTGGTTTCGCCAGTGCAAGTGTCATTGACTTCATAATGAGTGCATGCTGATGGAATGAGCATACCCCCGAAATTCTGAGCTTGTAACTTATTCTCTTTGTTTATTCCCAGCTTCTGGATCTAGCCTCTTCTCCTTGAGTCTTCTTAATTTTGACTGTGCTACATCAGCAGACTCAACAACTGCTTCAACTAGATTTCTGTCCTTTTATATCTTTTATAAAGATTTAGTTTCAATTTCCCAACTTCTGCTTGGTCCCGATTTTCTTAAAGACCAGAAAGTTCTTTTGCATTTCTGTCCTTACTTTTTCTGCTGTCCTCTTGGTTTAACTGCAGTTTTAAAGTGCAGTCTGCCTCAAATTAAACTTAAGTAGTACAGATTCACTCACAATAGGTCGAACATTGACATAGCTTCCAAAGAAGAGCAAGGCTCCCCAAGAGCGGATCACAGAAAAAAAATTATTATACATTTGTCCTGTAGAAGAACAGTTCAAAGGAAATGTTCAAGCAGGACATAGACTCCACTGTAAGAAACTTTCTACTCCCAGTGATAGGTATCCTCACAAACGGTTCAGATTACATTTTCTCCATCAGGTTCTCAATTCGAGCAGAGCCAGCTAACCTCATTAGTATCTATGCTACAGTGATGTGCTCCACTGTAGAGTAGAAAGACCAAATTTATGAGGAGGTTGGCAATATTTTCAGCAGAACATTTATCTCCTGGGGATTTTATTTTCTGAGTGGGTGCAGACTATGAGACATGGCCCTCCTGCCTTGAACATCAGAATTTGGGTAGATGACCATGGACAGAGACAACTCGACTGCTATTTCAACAAGCTTTGTGTGAAGAATACTCACGTTCAGACCAAACTAAGATATTTTGGAAATATCCAACATGACTTTAGGACCAGTTGGACATGATCATCAGCAGATCACAGAATTATTATCATGTAGAAGGAGGCCATTTGGTCCACTGTGTCTGTAACCCCAGCTGTCTGAGCATGTTGACTTAGAGCCAAACTCCAGTGAGCAGCATCTTCTTCACGTACAGCTACCACAGCTCTGTCTATATTACAGAGCATTCCTAGCATGCAACAGAATAGGATGCAACACTTGAAACAGAACTGCCATCTTCATAACAATGTCAGCTTTGCTGCCTACCTATATATAAATCAAAAGTTTCTTGACTTAATTGAATAGAAAAATGGTAAGGAAAAGCCAGGGAACTATAGACCAGTGAGCCTGACATTGGCAGGCAAGCAGTTGGAGGGAATCCTGAGGAACAGGATTTATATGTTTTCAGAAAGGCAAGGACTGATTAGGGATAGTCAACCTGGCTTTGTGCGTGGATGTCGTGTCTCATGAACTTGATTGAGATTTTTGAAGAAGTTACAAAGAGGATTGATGAGAGCAGAGGGGTGGATGTGATCTATATGAACTTCAGTAAGGCGTTTGACAAGGTTCCTCATGGTAGACTGGTTAGCAAGGTTATATCACATGGAATACAGGGAGAACTAACCATTTGGATACAGACCTGACTTGAATGTAGAAGACAGAGGGTGGTGATGGAGAGTTGCTTTTCAGACTGGAGGCCTGTGACTAATGGTGTGCCACACGGATCAGTGCTGTGTCCACTGCTTTTTGTCATTTATATAAATGATTTGGATGTGAACATAGGAGCTATAGTTAGTATGTTTGCAAATGATACCAAAATTGGAGGTGTAGTGAACAGCAAAGAAGGTTACCTCAGAGTCCAAGGGGATTTTGATCAGATGAGCGAATGAGCCGAGGAGTGGCAGATGGAATTTAATTTAGATAAATGTGAGGTGCTGCATAATGGAAAGGCAAATCAGGGCAGGACTTATACACTTAAAGGTAAGGTTCTGGGGAGTCTTGCTGAACAGAGAGACCTTGCAGTGCAGGTTCGTAGTTCCTGGGAAGTGGAGTTCCAGGTAGACAAGATCATGAAGAAAGTGTTTGATATGCTTGCCTTTATTGGTCTGTGCATTGAGTGTAGGAATTGGGAGGTCATGTTGCGGCTGTACAGGACGTTGGTTAGGCTGCTTTTAGAAAACTGCATTCAATTCTGGTCATCCTGCTCTAGGAAAGATGTTGTGAAACTTGAAAGGGTTCAGCAAAGATTGACAAGGATGTTGCCAGGGTTGGAGAGTTTAAGCTATAGGGAGAGGCTGAATAGGCTGGGGCTATTTTCCCTGGAGTGTCAGAGGCTGAGGGGTGACCTTATAGAGGTTTATAACATTATGAGGGGCATGGATAGGGTAAATAGACAACGTCTTTTCCCTGGGTGGCGGAGTCCAAAACTAGAGGGCTTTGGTTTAAGGTGAGAGGGGAAAGATTTAAAAAGGATCTAAGTGGCAACATTTTCACACAAAGGGTGGTGTGTGTTTCGAATGAGCTGCCAGAGGAAGTGGTGGAGGCTGTAACAGCTAGAACATTTAAAAGGCATCTGGACAGGTATATGAATAGGAAGAGTATAGAGGGATATGGGCTAAATGCTGGCAAATGGGACTAAATTTATTTCGGATATCTGGCCAGCATGGATGAGTTGGACCGAATGGTCAGTTTCCGTGCTGTACATCTCAATAACTTTATGACTCTGTGTGTGCTGACATCCCTCTACTGCATGCACAACATTGGGCAACTGCTGCTCCTCCTACTTTTCCTACCCCTTTCTCCAACTGCATATTCTGCTATTGCTTCACCTCCTGCTATAGTTCCTCCTCTTTCCAACAATCAAATCCACTCCAATCTAATGCTGTGACTTGCCCCTGCCAAAGAACTTGCCAATGTACACAACTGGGGCTCATTAATGAACAGCAGTTCCAAGCAAACTCCGGAAGCATGCTATCAGTATCTCTGTAAAAAGCGGGAATGGGGAGAAAATAGCTCAAACAAATTGTTCACCAAAGTTCTGTAAGGTTTTCTTAGATGAACTTTATTACTTAGAAGATAAAAAAAATATAATTTACATATTGATAATGTCACACATTACTATAAAAGGAGCATGATCTAATAATATGTCCTAACCCGAATATATTGTCGCCTCAGTGCTTTTCCACAGCATATACATGAATCATGGAGTCATAGAGTCATGTAGCATGGAAACAGACCCTGGCCCATATTCCTCCAAACCTTTCCTATTCATGAACTTATCCAGATATCTTTTAAGTGTCATAACTGTGCCAAATCCACCACTTCCTCGAGAAGTTCATTCGACTCACGAACCATCCTCTGTGTAAAAAAATTATGCCTCATGTCTTTTGTAAATCTCTCTCGTCTCACCTTAAAAATGTGCCTCTTAGTCTTGAAATCCCCCATCCTCGAGAAAAGACACCTACAATTAACCCCATTTATACCTCTCATAATTTTATAAACTTCAATAAGGTCACCTCTCAACCTCCTACCCTCCAGTGAAAAAAGTCCCAGCCTCTCCAGCCTTTCTTTATAATGCAAACCTTCCATACCCTACAACATCCTGGTAAATCTCTTCTGAATCCTCTCCAGCTTAATAATATCCTTCCTGTAACTGGCAATCAGAAATGGACACAGCACTCCAGAAGAGGCCTCACCAATATCTTGTATAATCTCAACATGACTTCCCAACACCTATACTCGAAGGACTGAGCAAATAAGGCAAGCATGCTAAATGCTTTTTTAACCAGTCTGTCTATATGTGATTCAAACTTCAAAGAACTATGTACCTGAACCCCTAGGTCCCTCTGTTCTATTTGCCGCATTTAATGTCAAAGATGATGCTTTTTCAGAATGTACCTTGCAATATTGTTTCCTTTTACTGGTATCTTGTGATTTTGTTTTCATTAGCGCTGGGAACAAAGACTAGATCAGCAACAGCAGATGCGTGTCATGCAAGAAAGAAAGCAAAATGCAGGAAGTAGTGAACGCAGTGGTGGTCCAAAGTCAAATTCAAAGAATGCAAATAAAGCTCCTAACAACCCCAGGAAGATCAACAAAAATAAAGGCAAGAAGGAAGCCAAGAAAGTATGAACCAGCAAATTTTTATAACTACAATCATCTAATACTCTGGAGGTCAGATCTTGGTTCAATAGCAAGTAACAATCTGCAGGTCATTTCTTCCCATAAGCAACCTTGTATTTATTGCACTATTGCATTTCAAAATTACTGTTTAGCATCATTAAAGCTCTAAAACTTTACATTTTCATATGCAGATACTGCTAACCATGTTCATTGGTTTGCATTACAAAATGGTAGGATTTCTATGTCTTCATCTTTCTCACTTGCTATTTTCTTAGCAAAGATACATGTGATATCAATCTTATTAGTGCAGCTAATGCTCCTTAGTATTTGGATACTTGTGCTATTGAACCTGTTCCTTTGCTGTATTGGGTGGGTTGACAAAGTACTCTTTCCAAGTCAATCTCTACATCTGAACGGACTCTTCCCATTTCATAGACCATGTCACTGCAATACAAGATATTTAGCATTACTTATTTAAAACATTATTCTGCAACAACACAGCTTAATATACAGAACTGCAGATTTTCAGACTGGATTTTATCTTTATGTTTTCAATTATTATCTTCACAAACCTTTGAAAATTTCATGCCATTCATAAGAGCTTTGTTTTTTCAGGAATGCACCTTAATGAACATCCATTAAATTTGTTTATTTCCTGTAAGTTGTATAAAACAGTGATGTGGATGTTTCTGATAGTGTTAAAACTAGTTGTGACTTTTATGAGTACAGGTTGTATGTCCATAATCTGGCAGCTTTGCGACTGGTGGACTGGAGAATTTGCTGACTACAGACAGTTATATGTTAACGCTAATGTGGGAGCTTCTAAACACTTTCAAGAAGTGCTATGCAACATAAAATGTGATGATAGAAGGAAAAGCAGCTATTTTAATAGAATATAGATATCTTTTTAACTGCTTAGTCAGTGTTGTTGTCTTTATGCTGCTCAGGATCTTTCTGCTGCTGGTCATAGAAGTTGCCAAGACAGCATGCCAAATTAGGGATTTACAACCTGCTAAAGGATTTTGTTAAAGTTGAGCGAAAACTACAGAAACAAAATTAGATTAAGCAATCCCTAAGAATTGAAATTTTGATTGTGGTGGTTTTGTTGCCGATAATTATGTTGTGATTGCTGAAAATGCTGGAATAGATCTTTAGTAATGTAGAATATCTGCATGTTATCAATCACAGCTACACTTATTTGATTATAATGACATTTTTTACATAAATAACAAGAAATTTTGTACTGAAAGGTTTTTAGAGCTTGTCTGTTCCACTTAAGTGCAGCATCCGTTCATCTCTTAAATGCCTAAACTTCAACATTCCTCTCCCATAGAAATATGAAATAAACATTTATGGTGGACGTACCTGTTTGTATTTGTTTAGTATTTTCTTTTCAGGTAACTTACAATTAACACCAAATCAATCCCATAGGTGACCATTATTTTTTGTAGCTGAAAATAAAAAGAAAATGGTGAAAAAAGAATCAGCAGATCAACTACCTAGGGAGAAACAAAATTAAAATACCAGGCCAATCAACTTAAGTCAGAAATGCAAGATGTTATAGAAACTGTTGATCTCTAAAATAATTCAGTTCTAATGACAGGTGAATGATCTGAAATATTCTTCACAGATGCTCCTTCATCATGTTGTGATCTAAAGTGTGTGCAGCTTGATTGACAAGTTGTCATTCTGAGCATTTAGTAAAGTCCACCCAGCATGTGATGGAAGGCATATTTTTTGCATTGTCTGTATTTGGGATGAGCACAGGCTATTATGAAGTGGACTGCTCAGTTACAAACGCTACTGCTCAAAACAACTCTATTTCAACATAACTGTCCAATGGCCCATGTGCAGATTCTTGATTCAGGACTGCCAGGTTCATAGCTTTGACCCCTTTGCCAATTTTCAATTGCCACAGAACATGGGAAATGGATCCTGATAGAAGCCTGCATGTAATTTTTTATTTGTGGGGACCTTGGAGCCTTTCAACCTTGACAGGTTGGTGAACAGATTGTAGATGACGTGTCAAGCTGCAAAGATTAACACCAATTTGCCATTGGTCCCTTTTCCACCTTTGAGCAGCTGATGAGATTTCCTTTGCCAGCTTTGCTTTTGAGGGCTTTTTGGACTGCACCTTTTCTGGTAAATCCTCTTGATTTTGCTGCAATGAGTAGCACTACCTGGAGCAAGGAGCTCTAGATGAAATCACACAAGGCGTTGTTGGAACACACAAGCCTTTTTGTGATGCCAAGGTTTCTCTGAAGGTGGTTACCATTGCCAACTCGCAAACATCATTAAAGTGATGGAAAGTGTTACTGATAATGCTACCAAGTAGTACTCACCTAGTAGCAACCTCCTCATAGATGCTGTTACAATTCCTGCAAATGCTAATGAAAATAGATTTTAAAAATTTCCTAATAAGATACACAAAGATCAGATGACAAGATTTCAAGTTTTAAGAGACCTACTGTAATAAACAAACTAAAATCAAAATTGAATAAACTTTAATTAATATGTAATTAATACATTAAGCTACAAAAAAAGTAGTTAAAGTTAAGCCTTTAATACAACTGAAAACTTTACACTCTATTTTTAAAGGGTTTGCTACATTCTTTCTAAATTCATTCAAAAGTCCAAAGCCTTCTGCTTTTAGTAGAATGGTTTCTAAGTAAAATTTGCTTCATTCAACCCTTTGAGTATAATCAAGTGGAATTGCTATCGCAAGGAATTGTCTAGTGATTCTGTGATCTTTAACTCTTCATGATCCTTGCTTCCTTGAACAGAAATTCTATCCTTAACAACTCTATTTGGTATTTAATACAATGACAGTCATTTTCTTCTATACAGTTGCAGTAGCTGTTGTCTGTGGTGCTTGCCCCACATCTCTCAATCTGCCAAATTTATAAATTTATCGATTGATAAATATAGAAAAATGCTATTCAGTCCATCATACTTATCCCAGATCTCTGGAAGATCTATTCAAATTATCCATTGCCCCTTCTATTTCTCCATAGTTTTTTTCTTTATTTTTCATGCATTTATCCAATTCCCTCTGTGAATCTGTTTCCAACATGTTTTGACCCTCAAAAGCAGTGTACCAATAACTTAGTAATTTTTTTATACCTTGTAAGTTTCTGTAATTCTTCATTATTACTAGGTCAATATCATGGAGTGCCCCTCCTAACAAAGCTGTGGGAGTACCTAGACCTCATGAATTGCAGCATTTTAAGAAGATGGCTCATCATCATCATCATCTGAGGACAATTAAAATGGGAAATAAATGTCAGTCTTCGCAGTAAGATCTATATTCTAGAAATCAATTAAAATAAAGTAACTTGGATTATTGTTTCTGCCTACCTCATCTATGATTGTTCTAGGTTCTGCAATAACTATGACTGAAACTTTGGACGAATGGCATTGTTCCATCTTCCACTCTGGATTGTACATTAGAAAATGTAGATGCTTGCTCCAGTGATGGTTATCCCTGCAACTGTTCTTGCCATATAGAATCATGGAGCAGTTATAGCAAAGGAGAAGCCACTCAGCATAATTTAATAAATGAGTTTTGCAAATCATAAAACAAAGTACAAACAAAAGAAAGTGTTATGTCTGGAATCAAATATGAATTCATTTTTGTTTTAAGCATACAATGAACACCAAAGTTTATTCAGAGCTCCTGAATGAAAAAGAATAAGATAATTAATGGGATATCTCATTTAGTATAGAACATAGGAACAGGAAAATCACATCAACAAAAGGGAAATTGAAAAATTTAGCTTGGGTGTAATTCAATGGAATGTATCAATTTGGCATTGATGTATGCCCTAGTGAATGGAAAGCATAAATTATACTAGCAAGATGATAATTTACACATGGTGATGCTTGTAACCTTCCCTAGTTTAGCCACTACTTGAAGAAGTGAGATCAACCATACAGGGGGAGAGAAACAAACATTTCTTGACAGATACACTCACTCTTTTTACCTTTAGATACGATCACCTGAGAGTTGAAAATGAGTGAAATGAAATTGAGATATTGTGTCAGTTAGCTCAGTTTCCTGGACAGCTAATCCACAATGCAGAGTAATACCAACACAGTGTGTGTTCAGCTCCTGCAACAACTGAGGTTACCATGAAGGACTATCCCTCTCAATCCTTCCCTTCATCTGAGGTGTGGTGATCCTCAGATTAAACAACCACTAGTTAAGTCTCTTTAATGAGAGAACAGCCCTATGGTCCAGTAGGACTGTGATGACTTTATTTTATTTTAATTGAGTGAAAGTAACTTTTTTAAGTCAATTACACATTGCTAGCAATTTGGGGTGGTTGAAATCAATGAAGTTACATAACAAAATCAGATAACATCAAGAAGGTTGCTGTCTACATGAATTTTAGTAATATTTTCAATAAGGTCCCTCATGGTAGGTTAATCCAGAAGATTAAGAAGCATGGGCTCCACGGTGACTTTACTTGGATTCAGAATTGGCTTGCCTATAGAAGGCAGAAGGTAATGGTGGAAGGGTGATTTTCAGGCTGGAGCTCTGTCACTAGTGGTGTTCTGTAGGGGATGGTACTGGGAGCTCTGCTGTTTATGGTATATTATATAAAAATGACTTGGATGAAAATGTGTATGGGTGGGTTAGTAAGTTTGCAGATGACACAATGATTGGTGGAGTTGTGGATAACGTAGAAGGTTGTCAAAGTATACAGTGGGATATAGATTAGTTGCAGATGAGGATGGAGAAATGGCAGTTGGAGTTTAATCCGGGGAAGTGTGAGGTGCTGCACTTTGGGAGTCAAATGTTAAGGAAAAGTACAGTTACTGGCAGGGCTCTGAACAGAATTAATGTGTAGAGGGATCTTGGGGTTCAAGTCCATAACTCCCTGAAAGTGGCCATGCAGGTAGATAGAGTAGTGAAGAAGGTGTTTGGCGTGCTTACTTTTAATGATTGTGGAATTCAGCAAAGAATCAAGATGTCACGTTGCACCTTTATAAGACTTTGGTTAGGTCACACTTAGAGAATGGCTTTTAGTTCTGGTCACCACATTACAGGAAGCATGTGGAGGTTTTGGAGAGGGTGCAGAAGAGATTTACCAGGATGCTGCCTGGATTAGAGTGTATGAGCCAGAAGGAGAGGCTAGAAAAATTCAGGTTGTTTTCTATGTAACAGTGGAGGCTGAGGGGAGACTTGATAGAAGTCTATAAAATTATGAGTTGCATAGATAGGGTTGACAGTCAGAATCTTTTTCCCAGAGCTGAAATATCTAATACTAATACATTTAGGGTGAGAGGGGGAAAGTTCAAAGAAGATGTGAGGACAAAATATTTTACCCAGAGAGTGGTAGGAGTCTGGAAAGTGCTGCCAGGGGTAGTGATGGAGGCAGATACAATAGAGATGTTTAAGGGACTTTTAGATAAGCACATGAGAATGCAAGGTATGGAGGGGTATGGACAAGGGACAGGCAGAAGGGATTAGTTTTAATTTCGCTTCATATTTGGCTCAACATCCTGGGCCAAGGGATCCTGTGCTGTACAGTTCTATTTTTTATGTTCTGAGGTACATCATTATCATTTTAAGACAATTAGGGTGGGCAATAAATACCAGTCTTGCCACCAATTCCCAGATGAAATTAAGTAAATTTCTTTTTTGTTGCCGTCTACCTTGTCCATGATTTTCTTGGGTTACTTATGAGTATAAAAACATATGAAATAGGAGCGGAGGTAGGCCATTCAAACCTTGAACTGCTCTACCATTCATTAGGATAATGACTGATCTGTTAATGTTTCAAATTCCATATTTCCCATCTGCTTCCAATAACCTTTAATTCCATTGCTTAAAAAAATCTACCTCTATCTTAAAATATTCATTTACTTACTTGCACCACCTTCAGAGACAGAGTGACCTGAAGTTGCACAGTCCACTGAAAGAAAAATGATCTCTCCTCTTTAAAAGAAAACATCCTTTCCAAATCTTTTCTACAGTAACTGTGGCTGACAGAATGGCTGAATGGCCTTCCACCACATTCAACCAATGGCACACAGAATCAACCAGTAGAAAATATAGATGTTTGCTCCAATGATGTGCATTCCTGTTATTTTTCCTGTCACATAGCAGCATAGAATGGTTACAGCACAGAAGTGGCTATTTGGCTAGTCATGCCAGTATCAGATCTCTGCAAAAGCAACTGATACAGTCTCATTCCCCTGTTTTACCCCATTACCCTGTAAACATGTCCTTTTCTGACAATTATCAAGTTCTTCTTTGAAAGCCTCGAATGAAACTGCTTCACCACTGTCTCAGGAAGAGCTTTCCATAT